CTGCTGGGAGAGGTGAGTCCGGTGTTTCGTTTGTAGAACTTGCTTATTCGTTTTCTAAAGCGGTGGGGACTGCGTTTCCCAAGGCTGCGATGGTTCAAGCTTGACAGAATGTCGGAGAAGCCAGCGGAATTATCCCAAGATCGAACAATTCTACGCTGTCGCTGGGCTCTGACATATTGCCGTGGATTTCGCTTACTGTTGGCAAGCGGCTAGCGATGATAGCGGGTTCTTATTGGCTCTTGAATGCGGTTGACTGCGTGGCAACTCAACTGCGTGTACAAGCTTGGCGCAAGCGCTCTGTGCAAAGCAGCGCGTCCGTCTGCCGCTGCGAAACGCACAATCTAAAAAAAGTCCGTGAGTCTGCTTTCCCGCACAACACTCGGACAGTCAACCACCGCTACTTACGGAGGCAGCTCAGCGAATGACAATGCCGAAACATATGTTTAGGTAAAAAAACTCGGTCTGAGTGGCGACATTAAGCAATGCAAGCGTGACGTTTTGCATTGCTTAAAGGGGTCATGAAACGATTTTCCTACTTCTTCCTCCTTAGCTTTAATCCTCAACTCAAACGCGAATTGTGAAATCACGTGGTCGTGACATTCCGTCGGCACCGGTGCGATGACTCCTAGCTTCCACCGTGCTTTTTAAGCACACCATAGAAGTTGACATTCCCCAGTGACGATAAGTTCCGTCTCGGCACTCATTGGCTACGAACGCGAATCCAAATATTCGTCGACGGATTGGTTGTTGACGAGCGCATACGTCCGAGTGACGCAGTTCTCGTGTCCAATGCGTGAGTTGGGCTCTGCTGACGTCAGTTTGGCGCCGGTGACGCGCTTTTGGAACCGCGGATGTATCACAGTGAAAAGGCGGAGAGCTTTTGAAGTCAAGAAGGTACAAAATATTCCGCTATATTTTCAAATGTTCGTACTTAAAAGCTGGCTTTTGACTTTCTAGCCCCTTTCTTTTGGCCAACTAAACGATATGCGATTAGTAAAGTCCCAATTTATAATCATTCACCCCAACCCTAAATTCGTTTCATGGGCCCTTTAATGTCACAACTCAGACTGCGTTTTTCGGTCTAAACATATGTTTCGGCATTGTCATTTGCTGAGCTACCTCCGTGAGTTGCAGTGATTGGCTCTCCGAGCGTTGTGCGTGAAGTAGACGCACAAACATTTTTTTACAGTGCACCGCGCTCAAATGCAAATGTGCTTAGGGGCCTTGAGTTGCCCTGGTTAACAAATAACCCCTCCCCCCTCGCCTCCACTCCAAACCGAGCAGCAAATAAAAACACCTAAAACACGGCGCATACGTTGTGTGCTTTTATTCGTTAGCAATAAATCGCCTGCAAAAATACCACAAATGTGTGGCTAGAAACCTATTGCAAGATGATGCACGTGCAAAAATGAACATTCCATAACCTTCCAACTTGGTCGCTTTTGCGTGCAAAGATTTAACCTGGTCGATCCAATAGCGTCATTGATGCGGTAGTGTTCTAGGGGAACTCCAAGATGACGGGGCGGCGATCCAGTTTATAAAACAGTTTTAAAAATAACCGACGTTTAAAATCAATAGACGTGCCAGATACCCCAACACTCATCCTATATGACAGAACTACTCGTATTTTCGCAAAACTGTGAGCTCTGTGAGCTCTACGGCTTTTTTCGCACTCTCGGAGCCTTTGCAAAACAACACTGCGCCATCCACATACCCTAAAACACGCATTTCAGTAGCTTCCAACGCAAACCCACGAATAAAATAGTTTTGAATAGTACTTATACAAAACGGCTCAAGAAAAATACAAAAAAAAAAGCGAATGCGAAAGTGGACAGCCTATTGTCGCACCGAAGTGAAAAGGCAAATACGCTTGCTTACACTCTTGTTTACAACATGACTAGTGGCGCGGTTTTTGTGCGCCATGCGTACACCGTTATAAAAAAAAAACCCAAATTAACGTGTTCTATTACAGAAAAATAATTTCGCGTGTCACGCGGTCGAACGCTTTTTCTAGATCAACCAGTAACATGGCAACACTTCGAACAGGAGACTCACAACACTCCAAACTGAATTGGGCGACATGCACATTTATTACAATGCTCCTCCTATTTATCTGGCACATATGGTGCGGGTCGACGACAATGTTTATAAGACTCTGCAAACGCTCCGCTCAAAACTTTACTTGTACCTTATAGTCTCCGTTAGTTAGTGCAAACCGACGTTACGATCCAACAAAATAAGGTTTGTAGAGGTCTTCACTTTTAGGTTTAAAATAATGAATACGCAAGCATGACGGGAGACAACTTTCAGAGGCGTCAGGATGGTGACGACCGGTGATGGTGTTCACCCGATGGAAGTTCCCGGGAAGTCGAACAAGAAAAAAAAACAAACACTAAAAGTTGTTCAATCCCGCTGGACACATTACGACATTGTTTGATTTCCGATGGCCAGTGTTGCCACGTTTATTTCAAAACAAAACGACAACAAATCAACAGCAATTTACATTAGAAAACTCTCAAATTTAAAACCCATACTTTAGTCCCCAGGCTCAAGAGCAGAATCTCCCTGATCTCAAAAGCTGAATCCCCCCAGAATCCACTCGGCACCCCTTTTCTAGGCTCGTAGGGGCCTCCTTTCCCTCCAGAGACGAACCAATCACTTCAAATTTGCCCATTGTCACGTGGTACACTCTTACCCAATGATCAGCGAGCTGTCAACTTGACCCCCCTCCGACAACTCAGCGGTCAAACCAAAATTCTTTGTAGAGTCACTACATGCTTTCCTCGCCGCCTGGCTGGCACCACGTATCAAACACCTTTATTACGTTAAAAAATAAACCAGGATAGAACAACTTTATTTCCTATTTATAACAATTTTATCCTTGCCGGAAAATAGTGCTTGCTCCCCAGACGTATTCTGCTGAAAACCATATTGAACCTGCGTTATTATGCAACACATGTGAAAAACAGAAAACCAACAACAAAAAACTCCTTAGTCTAATATTGATAAGGTGCTCAAATCTCTAAGAATACCAGTTGAATTGCAATCGGCCTAAAATTATTAATAATAGTTGTCTCCCCGCCTCCCTCACTCACAGTGCTTCATTTGGCTATTCTTAACTCTTCGGGAATCTCAGGAGACTCGAGCATCATATTTTTTTAGATGGGAGAAGAGATTACTTATTAGGTCCACGGTCTGCTGTTTATGTAATTTTTTTAAATTCCATCAACTCAAGCGGCAACAAGAGATTTAATATTTTAAGATTTTTTATTTTAATTTCATTTGGCATAGATGGAACCAGCATTATAGACTGCAGCCGATTTATCGCGGGTGCACAGTCACCTGCACTGAAAGTTTTTTTTTTGTACGTGACTATGCTAATAATTAAAAGGACAATTAATTTCGTGTGTTTGTTCTCTTCCAACGACGTATATTTTATATATTAAGACTTCCTTCACACTACACCGCGTTTGCCTTGTAGTGGTTAGATAATTTAAGTAGCCCATACCTTTCTGCTACCACTGTGAAGGAAAATGCAGAGTACTGTTCCCTCCATATTAATTTTAATTTATAAATTTTTAGAAAGTTCTACAAACGTAAACTTTTTTTTGTCATTAGAGAAGTCATCCGAAGTTGCTACTTAACTCTGATTGCCTTTAGCAAACGCGCACCCTTCTGGATACACCACGTTGAGGATTAGCTGCTCAGGTTGAAACGTATACCGAGAACCGTCGAACTGCCAAAAATGCTGCTGTTGTTCCACAGCCACTCTCTCTTTACTTTAGCAAACTGAAAAAGTAATATGTTATTTTGCAGGTCATTTAGAGATGTGCCTGAATGTCGCAAAACCAAAGAAAGCTTTTTTTTTTTTTAATAATGGCTCACACTCATTTTTGTTTAAGGTTTTAGTGAAGGCAAACTTCCTGTATTTTATTACAAGGTGTGTTCTACAATTCTAGCCAACAATAAAAAAAAACAGGTTTAGATTTTCAAACGATCTGGATAAAGGCCACCTGAGTTTGTTCCATCTGGCCTTTTGTTGTTGTACATTACTATCCTCCCCTCTTCCGGTGTTTTTATAGGAGACATCTTCCGAAAGTACTCCGTGAAAACTTCCACGTCCATTCGCCCTGAAAAGCAACCCCGTCAAGTTAGGTTATCAAGAGACTAAGAGGAAATATGGAGAAATTTGTAAGCATGAATTGACCTAGAACTTGGAGAATTCAGCTCTCATCGCTTGAATGTGGAAGCGACGGCGGCATTTCTTTTCAAGACCACTTCGGTGCATCGCTGTATATATTCTTCCTCCCACAGCAGTTTTCCGACTCATCATTGTCGCTGGAGGGACTATACTTCTTCACGAGCATTTTTGCAGTCCCGCAAGTCTACATAAAATATGTCCTCCATCCATACTTCCCGTTATCTAATAAATATTGATTGTAGTTAAAGAGTTCACCCACGCAAAAAAAAAAAAGACGCTTGTCAATGTGCAGCGAACTTAGACCGGCGCGAAAGAAAATTAGGTTTATGCTTTACCAAAACATTTCTAAAACCACCAGGGCGGAAATACCTTTCACCAGTAGTCACTAGCTTGACTCTATTTTGAAACAATTATTCCAGTATTTTATTTCATTAAACTGAATTTGCTTTTCCTTGTTTCCGAAGTAGGGTCAATATTCATCACTTTGGTTTTGTTTGGGCTGTTTCTTAGTCTATATTCTAGGAAGTTCAGTCTATGAGAAATACACTCCTGTTATAGAATAGTCACAAGAAAAGTATTAGTGCACTTTTTGTTTAATATCCACAGCCTTCTGCTGAATATTCGATATTTTATGCTTTAACTGAACAATTATCTGTAATTACATTGCACACGGCGGACAGTGTATATGTTTCGACTCATTCGGATAAAGAACGACCTGAATTTCAATAGTGCCTTCATTATAAGATTTCGTAGTTCGTGATCTATAACTCAACTGTATTTCATCACGGCTGAATTTTGAACAAGTAGACGTCAATCACAGCGTCTCTCTGTGTGTTCTTCAATATATAACTTAATTAGCCGTGCAGAATTTGTTGTGCAGACTGGCGTTCTCCTTAAAATAGTATTGCTGTTGATATAGGATAAACGTATTAAAACAATAATAATTTAAGGATAAGGTTATTCTGCACAACAAATCTTATATTGCAACAATTTAACAGTTGGTACTGCTCAAAGATCTGTTGAAAGATGATGTTTGTGAACAAGAATATTGTTAATTATTACATTTGTACAAAAATGACATGAAGAAATTTCAAAAAATTTAATAGACGGCCAATTACAAGAATCCGATTTTTAAAATCATCGCATCAACAAAATATTTACCTTCCGTGGTCATCGATTTCTTAACCTCATCGTCAAACGTGAATCCATCTCCACCACCGGCAATGAAACTTGTTGTTACGATCTTGTAAGTACCGTTGGGCTGAACAATCTCATACTTAGGTACGCTGCAATTGGCACACAGTATTTGAAGTGTGTCGGTCCTGCAGGTTTTAGAAAATGTGAAGTTATAGGTAACCCTCATCCCTAGAAAGAAAAAAAAGAATGACAAATATTAATTTAGAAGTCATTTCACACGGTAGTTCTATACACACGTGCATGGCAGGGTTGGCAACATATGCGGCTCTCACTCAGATGAATGGAATTCTAACCCCACTCAGTGCGGATCATTCTTTTTTTTTAATAATTCTGTACTTTTGTATAAAGCTGCATCATGTTCTCGACTGCAATCAAGTGTCCTGAATCTTGCACGCACCGCGCGTATAAAAGCAACGGTAACACGATGTTTCGGACAAGTCTATCTTCAGACGCCTGATGGTTCATAATTTCCTCAAGTTTGTAGGTATACACGCTCGCCATATTAAACAATTATTTTCAGTTTTTAATTCATGACCACACTTCTACTTGTAGCAATATTTGTATAATCACTTTTATTTGACATAAAGCAGAAGGTTTTAATTTGCCGTGTTCTTATTTTTTATATTACCTGTTTCTGTGTAAAGTAAGTTGCCAGTCATGTACTAAACATCTTAATTTCTTACGGGTTTAATGTGGAGCGGAATTCACAACAGGTATTATATTTTTCATAGTGCTTTTTAGAGTGGAATTTTTTATTTCACTGCCAACCTGGCAAATTTCTGCCGTGGTAAAGAAAAATCACGACTTAAAAAAATTATATAATATTTTAATTATTCGCTACAATATATTTGATTTAAATCACATTTCCTTGATTTAGGTCCCTGCAGGATCTAAAAAAATTTAAATTTATTTCTACATGCATTTTTTCAAAATGAAAGATTGAGTGATCGACTCTGTCGATCACCGATGAGAGTGAGGAAGAATGAATTACTTACATGTAAAGAACAATTGTATAACTAATTTGTATTGCTCTAATCTCATACCAGAACGAAATCAGATGTTTTTTGGTTACTAAAAAATTTACTTTTCCTATCTAGTTTTGACTTCACTGCTATGCAGAACGCAAGTTTGTGTGCCTCTCAAGCAGGGGCTGCGGTGACGTCAAAACGCCGAGCTCATATTGGCTCCGATTGGAAGGATGATAGGTGGTCCTTAAGGCCCAGCTAGTACCCACTATTCCTACAACTAAGCCAATCAGAGCTCTGCGTTCTGACATCAGTGCAACCCCTGCGAAAGAAACAGACGAACTTTCTCTCTGCATAGGATATTACTTTTGTACTTTTTGTTTCTTTTTTGTGTGTGTTTTGATTTTGTAGCGACAGGACATTACGTAGCCGAAAAATGAAGTAGAACGTAGAAATCAAGCTCAATGCTCCGATTGGCTTAGAGATCAGATATTTTTGCTCGTGTTCTGCCTCGTATAAATCTTAATTGCTTGATGCTTCTTTTGTTTTTATACAAACAAAATTGCACATAGATGAAATCTAATAAGAGGCGAAATGCGAATCAATAAAATGTTTTCTAAGATCGTTTTTGCGAGAAGGTTTTGATTTAAATCGTGGTTTAAAGGGGTTATAACGCAAATATTTTGGGAGGTAGATATGAGGTCTCCATATGTCATATAGTTTTCACAATGAGTTTCACGAATTTTGGAGCTCTAGTAATTGCAAATTTATTTTTCTGATGTTGATCATATGAAAGAAACGATCAGGCAACCCTGACAGAATATGACGCACCCACTCTCTACCCCTGCTTCCAGTAGTCACATCATGGAGCCCATGGCTCACGTGATGCTGACTCAGGCTCGCCACGCTCGGGGACTCTCTTCGCCTAGGCACTCTTGCGAGCACAGAGTCTGCCGCCATACAGCCTAGCGACTAGCACCTGCGCCTCTTCGCGTCTCTCTTTCTCCGCCGCTTTCATCGCCGTCGCAGGTGCTAAATGGCAAGGAGAAAGGAAACCTAGCCGGTAGCGCGAAAACAGTTGCGAGAATGTAGGATTGGGAGAGCCTTGTTTGGGAGAGCATGCAGCGGGTCAGCCTCAGCTTCGCCGGTTGCGCCGCGGTGCTACCAGGGGCTCGGGTGCAGCAGAGACTGGCCGCGGCACGGACCTCCGAACATCCCAATGGGCGGAGCCGAGGAACTGCGAGAAAAACGACTGTACCTCTTAAACTAGCGTGCTGTATGCAAACAAATATCGCAAATATATGCTAACACATAGTGAGGTCTTCAGCCATAGTTATATCATGTTTTTATTCCGTGTTATAACCCCTTTAAGTCACGATATACATATTTCTGTTATTGTTATTCCCCCCTTGCAGCGCCTTCGAGACTTTCCTACGAACATATTCCTTTGTTTTGTGAACCTCGGTCGGGGTGGTGACACATTTGTGTAACTCGCAAAAGACTGAATGTCAAAAAAAAAAAAAAAAATTACAGGGTGGTTTTTTTTTTTTTTTTGCCGCAACAATAAATTAGGCATCGCCGAACACTCATTCTCCGCCCGAAGGTAGCGCTGGTGGTTTCAGCCCGATCCGATACCTTATTCAAAAGTTATAAGTGATTTTTTAAAAACTTCACTGGGAAAATCGAGCCCATTTTAGCCCGTTTTCGGTTTCTGGTGCCCATAGAGCCCCATGTATTCGAAAACTCCGTCGGCCGCCATTTTCCCTCTGAAATTTTTAGAAAATCACTTATAACTTTTGAATAAGGTATCGGATCGGGCTGAAACTTTGGCATCTGGCTGTGACCTCTAGCGCTACCTTTGGGCGGAGAATGAACGTTCGGCGATGCCTAGTTTATTTTTGCAGTAATAAAAACCGTGGAAATTTGTTTTTGTGACACCCTGCATATCGAACAATTCGTGTTCCTGCAGTGATGAAAGCATCGAGTCAACGAGCCCAAGATACTTATGCTACTGTGAGCGTCTCGGCTAGGTCGCTGAAGTCCTCAATCTATGCTACAGTCCTGCCCTCTGTCAGGTGCGGTAGATCGTTCCAGAAGTTTGCACGAGAGCCATACTGACGGTAGCCGATATTCTCCGTGGAATGACGTGTTACGTAGGCGCAAATTATATAGTCAGTGATAGAATCGTCAGAACGAGCGCATGATTGTCTCTCTTACACTTTCCCACCTTTACATCGCTAAGAATAACAACCACGTCACTTATTTCATGGCCGTTCCTGGACGCAGCCGCACTTTACCAGCGCGGTTCAGTTCGTCGAGCCAGAAGTGGTTCTTCGGGGATTGAGTCAAGAAAGGTTGGGCATTCTTGAGAATGGAACAATTTTTTTCTTGGCTGTTCCTTAAAGGTGTCAGGAATCATTTTACTCGAGCTGTCGACGCCGACTCCTCCAAGGTTGAATTGGGAAGATAAAATTGCAGGGACGGAGAAAAAAAACTGGGGTATGTGATAATGAGCTCTGGCAGAGAGCGCTCACCCGATCTTGGTTGCCGTTGCCGTAGCAAAAAACCCATCAACACCGTTAGTTGCTGCCAAAAATTAAACTATTAGGATCTCTTATGAGGACGTGCAACAAACGTCTAGGGAGCATTGGGGTCGTCATGGTTACTGATGCTTAATACATCTTCAATTAAGCTGGTAATGGTTTTGTTTGGACCTTGAGACCGGGTTTAAATTATTTGCATGGCTCACTGTGACTCTTTTTAGTTCTTGCGAATCATCTTCGATTCAGCTGTAAAACTGTCCCACGACGTAAGGGAAGGTTTGGGGATTTCAAACCAGTGTCTCACTCTTCCCTCTAGTACAACATAAAGATTCTGCGAGCGAGTGATCAGACGGGAGACTGTTCTTACTCAGAAATAAAATTTGAATTGGGACACTCTAAGCATGACATTGCTTTGGGCAGTGTAAAAGTGGGAATGGCATTTTATAGTGCAGTACGTTTGCTGACCACCATCATTCAATAGTATCTCTCCATTGACTAACGTGATTGGTTCTCCGCAACTTTCTAATAAAATTTGAAAAGTGAATAGAACTCCGCTTTTTTTTTATATCTTGTCATTGGACTATAGGGCTGTTTCAGATTATGTATATCCGCTTCAAAATCTCACCGGAATTCAAAATGGAAACGTTTAATCTATGAGTTTCTTTGCGCGGCAAAAGCTTTTTTTTTTTTTTTTTCCAGTTGAACTGAGTTCTTTATTTTGTGATCAACTGCGCCAGACAGCAGTAAGCGATGTAATTAGGAATGGGCTGGAGCTTGTCTGTATACAAATAAATAAAAGTTCTAGTTGTTTAAAGTTTTTATACGTATTTGTTTTTATTTGGAATTAAGACGACCTGGCGCTAAATGAAGCTGACATCTATTCGGCAGGGCCGACTTTGAAGAGAAAATGATCTTGGTGCGTGTCAGGAGGAGACAGCCGATTACGAAGCGCTTTTTCTTCTTCCATGTGACTGAGTTTATGGTAGCTAAAGTAAATGTATATGCTCCCCTTGCAGAGAAGAGCATCGCAAGGGTCTCAGAATTTTTCCTCTAAGTTCAGCGGAGGAAGCGGGGTGCAACGAGATGAGTAGGATACTCACCGCGCATATGCGCCGTCGGGCCACCTAGAAACAGCGCTCGCGTCATAGAAAGAACGAAATTATCTATGCCTAATTGTCACACACAGTTTCCTAAGTTTCGAGACGCTTCCTGTTCTTTTAAAGATCAGTATAAAATCTACATTTTGTTAACACATGCCAAAATTATGTTTCAGCCCAAAACCGACGCTCCACAAGGCAGCATCCCCGCAAGCACCGTACTCACATTTGACTCATGTGACTCCTTCTCCGCCAATAAGAGGTTTACGGCTTCAGCAATAAAAAAAAAAGGAAATGCTCTGGTTTGTTATTCTAGCGGCGAGTCGCAACCAGCGCCCTCTTTCGAGGCGGACGTCGCGTCTGTCAGAGACTTAGCCTTTCTTTTGCGTCAAGTTTAGGTATCTCGCTGCTCGTAACTTGCATTTTCCAGAGAAAAACGCGGAGCAAACATTAGTTTTATTTAAATCTCAAGTGATATTGCATATTTTAACGACGGGTAAAAATATTTGATTGAAATATGCTGACTAATTTTGTTTTGAATGTTAATGAGTGTATTTTAGGTAACTCATCTGCTGGTTTCCATTTTACTCTCCTAACCTGATGTCCGCCGCAGTCAATAATGCTATTCTTAAAAAAACTCTTTATTTTTCCAGAGTCATTTGTTCAGGCGTTGTATATTATTGATCATATTTTACCTACAACATATTTTATCCCGTTATTGTTCGCTTTGTATAATCGTGCACATTAGTTGTCCTACCTGACACCTGGAGGAATGATCCCTCAGGATCGTTCGCCCAAGTGAACTTCGATATACCATGCTCAAACATTTTCCGCAATTGAAGTCCGGTCATTGTGAGCACAGCCAGAGAACTTTCGAAGGGCATGGCGGCCATGATGTCTTTTCGGCGTACAATACCTATAGAGCAATACGATATATGTAAAACAACTTTAGAGGCAATAGTTACTTTGCAAATACACTGCAGTGACGAAGATTCAACGGTTAACTAAGCTAAAAGATGTACGTACTTTGAAAATAATAAATGTGTGCTTGAGGGCTTCATGTGTATTGAGAAAAACACCATTGACCGTATTATAAAGAGCAATTAGAGTAGTGAGACTCGTGGTAATTAAGGTTTCGCAAAAACACAATAATTGTGATAATGCAGTGATTGCGCAGGCGAGCTGGGGCCCTAAACTCCTCAAACACAAAGTTGTGGCCAAAATTCACGGAGCGCGCCGACTGGACTATACCGGCGATGACTTCGCGCTTTTTCCGCCGGCGTTCAATCAGCGCGCTCCGCAAACTTTCGGCTCCATCTTTGTGTTCGACGAGTTTAGGGCCCCTGGTGGATGTTAAAGATTTTGTTCTTAGCCCGAGACTGAGGCAGGAAAAGAGAAAAGTTTCGTTTTAATTTTATAATGTTATTTTAGCGATTTCTGATTATTATAATACGTAGGAGAGTGTCAGAGAGTTTATGCAGTGTCTATTGTTGCCATTTTTTTCATGGGACAGAGTTTTTGTGTATTGCATGCCATTGTGTTAATAACTTACATTGCGCACATGCTTGCATTGATATCGTAAGTTTTTTTTATGTCTGTTCATGTACAGTTCAGTTAAGTTTTTTGTATGCTTAAATCTTGAGCCTGCGTTCGCGGGTCCCGTATGCAATTGTTCAACCCTAGAGCGGACCAGGGGCTCAACATTTGTATTTTATTTTAAAATAAACTTTATTATTTTTTATCCTCATGCAAAGCATGCGCTGGCCATACGACAGTTATGTTGCATGTCTCATATATTGTATGAGATTTATTACATATTTTATTAAAAATAACCTTTTGTTCTCGCTCATGCCGACTAGGCTTTGCAGTTCGCTTGTGTAGATCTGGTATACTATAGTATGAGATAAGTATAATATCTCCTTCATTCTACGCTGAAGGCAAAATAGATGTCGTTCATGATGTAACAAAAGTAGAAGCCGAATGTGTATGCAGCACACATTGCTTAAAAACGTTGAAGTAAATTACGATATGAATTCAGCCATCTTATCTTAAACAAAACTCTTTTCAGTGCTGGCTAATTAACATATATCGCCCACCTTGTTTAATGGACGACCTTGTAATTCCGGCGTTCACAACAGCAGCATTTACGTCCGACCAGGCGCCCGGAACGGTGCTGTTCCTGTCGGCGTAGTAGGCCAGAAACGAGTCGGCTATGGTATTCACCATGTTGCATTCTTTCAGGCGGCAGATTTTGTGGTCGGCTTCGAGCAGCACCTTAGAGATACCAATATACTCCTCTCCAGCCTCTATAACTGCCCGTCTGTAAGGTTCCAGCATCTCTAGGGTTTTGTTATCTGGCAAGATAATGTTCGCATTACTTTTAATCGCACATAAGGCTGTTTTATTTACCGATGCATTTTTTCTACTGTCGAGACCGGTTATAACGAAGTCAACGAGAACCGTAAATCATTTTGCAATATCCGCTATTTCGTTATAACCAACTTCGGTTATAACAAAGTGCAAAAGGAAATGGGAGATAGTGATTGATTCGCTGTAGCCGCCATTTTGTCATAACCAACTTCGGTTATAACGAAGTGCAAAGGGGAATGGGAAACGGTGATCGCCACGCTGTAGCCGCTATTCTATTATGACGGACTTCGTAAAAACCGGTTTCAACAGTATAATCCTTCCAGATTCCAAACAGAAATATTGCAGTATCCGTATATCATGTTCAAGCAGATTTGTTTTTCGATGAGACCGATTAAAAGCTATTCTACAGTCAGAGCTGATTTCTCCTGCTTTGACGCACTGTAAATTTTTTCTGAGGCAAGGACATCAACAATTAATGATGCGAAATAACTCAGGAACCAGACATAAGTTATAGACTAACTTTCTGTGATTTTATAAATACCCGGCATTCCAATATTTACGGTGCTCTGGCCACTGAAAAGAAAAAGTTACTATAGGCATGGCGCGACACACGCCAGATTTTACCCGAAATATATTCAATTGTGAAACAATTTATATCTTTCCAGCAGTAGATCCGATAATGAACTGTCCAAGTTGTTATTCTGCTGTAGTCACAGACGGCTTAATAAACGCAGGTCTTGTCGAGTCTCCAGTATTGTATTACTGTTCTGCAGCCAATCAGATTGAGGGTCACAACAGACGCCCTACGTTTGTCAAGTTGTCAGCAACCAAAGTTGTGTTAATCTATGATTCTGCCCAAATATTGCAAACATCATAATCCTGCCTGCGCGAAAAAATTAGCGACTTGATACAGAAAGGAAGAAAACGCTGCCAAGTGAGGGGACACCAGGGAACAAAAAAAAAGGATATATTACGGAAGTACAAGTAGGATCCAACATATTATCTACCTGTACGCGTTCTCAGAATTCTGTAGGAAGGACCATATAACTACCGGATATAATTTGTATTATGTAAAAGTGCGTTTATATAATCGTGCTTAGCTACTTCTCTCGCAAGCACAAAAAAAAACAATGGGTAGGACACAGTGAACATGCTAAATCAATAACCAATTTTTCTTGATTTTTATCTGCACAGTAGCTCTAAGGTCATAAAACGTCGAACACATAATACTAACCCCCCTCACGTTTTAAAGGGCACTCGTTTCTAATAACTCCATACCTCGTAAGCTCAAGCTCCTAGATTGCAAAAACAAATTGCTTTCTGAATAGTCGGTAGAGAAATATACTCGCATTTTTATTTCAAGCTATGTTGTTGTAAGGAAGAGTTGCGTACCAAACTGTATGTCTGTGGTAAATACGTTTGCTACGTGCCTGGCTTATTGCCGCACGGCGATGCGCTAAATATAGGCTGAAAATCATAAGGAAATTATGCCAATTGTAGGATGATTTTTGCGTTTCACGTAAAATTCTGTTCCGCAGCTAAAAATAAATTTAAACTCAAGTGAAGAATAAAACTAATTACATACTTTCCGTATTTACTTAGTTCGTCAACATAACTAAAACCCTGCTAGAAAAAAAAAGTCACTTAAGAATGACGATACAGGTACCCCCTCTTTTTTACGCTTTCTCTATCAAAGGCTATAAAGTTAGAATAGAAAGTGCATACTAAAACTAGGTTCCTCGTTTCCTAAACATTCATCAAGGATAACATAAGCCAGGTGATACCGCGTTGTGTCAAATTATTAGCCAACAATAATTTAATTTAAGCTTATTTCCAATCACGTTTTTGGTTAAGTGTGCACTAGTCTGCCGCAGTTAACTCATAATTTTAGATTTCCGTCAGTGTTGCGGCCAGCTCTGTGACGTAAAAAAAATTATATTTTTCCATCATTTTGTCACAAGTGTTGCATTCGGCCGAGTAGGGCTCCAGGCCACGGCGAGAAGACGACTCCGAAAGCAGAGCAAACGGACTTTACTCCCAGGCAGGCTCGCGGAGAGACGAAATCCGAAGTACATTACCGACGGTGGAGCGGCCGATTTTTGTCGGTTGCTGCCAAGAACAAATAAAGAAAAAAGTGCGATGCTGAAGATATCGCTTTCGGCGCGGCGGCTATCAACAGCAGCGAGCCCACGTGCGCTTAGGCGTGACAACGCAGCACAAGCAAGTTATATCATAAAATGTGCACGAAATGTGTTTATACTATATTAGTGTTCACATAATTTTCAATGGCAGCATTGCACGGGCTTATAGATGCTTTCTCAATTTGTAGCACTATACTAAAACCGAGCCAACATACGCTGATTTGTATAAGAATGCGGGTCGTACCTTGCTCAACCGAGCTGTCTAGGAGAATAGGATTTCCCGACCAGTCCTTCAGCGTTCCATTCTTGTAGAATTGTATTTTCAAATAGCCCAAATATTTTCCAAACCAGAAATCTTGCGTTACAAGTGCAACAGTTCCACTGTCCCTCTGTACAACCGTTGGATACGGTCCCACTGGTGTGTCATTCCCAGGGCTTACACCTACAGGTAAAAATATAAATCGAAACATATGGCAAGGTTTCTTCTCAAGAAATGTCTGAACTTCGGGCAATGCGCAAATGTTTGCATTACAATTAAATGCTTTCCTATCAAAAAATCTCATTTGTATGAAAAGTTTATGTGTCCAATAAACGCATATAAATCCTACAAGATACAAAAGAACATATAAGAACCATACAAGAACTGTATGAGATATAAGAACATATAAGAACCTTATAAAAAAACTTGCGAGAAGTTTCTTAGAAGTTTATTATATGGCTTTTATATGTTCTTATATAGTGTGTATACAGTCCTTATATGGTTCTTCTATGTTCTTGTATATCTTGTATGATTCATATGTGTTTATTGGCCACAAGAAATTTCTTATACAAATGGCTTTTTCATTAGGGTTTCAATTTCAATTTCAATTTTTATTTTCGGATCAAGTCATACAAAATAAAGACCTGGCCCACAAAAGCAGCATTCTGCTTGTAAAGCGGATAGTTAAGACACTGCAACAAATGTGCATAGCCAATCATAGAGGAAGTTAAAATTGGGACTTTCTGCAAAATGAAAATTTTGACCCAGAGTCAAACACTTAATATCATGAATATATTCTGACGCAATAGCATAACACACGTATAGCTGATAATTTGATAGTTTACAAGTGATGAATTTGGAATATTGGGCAGTGTTCTAAGTTGGTATGAAGGGCGAGTTGGATATAAACAAAATTAAATAAGAACTTGCTGGAAAACAAACACTAACAAAAAACTTATCAGAGAGGCAACATGTGCATATTCATTTCAAATATGTTTTTGTGTACCCTTGGAGACATTGCGCATTTCTCAGGCATTCGCTAGCAACTTAAACTCTCTAACAATATAAATGTCGCGTTATATTATAGGGCGATGTGTTGCTGCTGGATAAAAAAATATCGTTTGGGAGTAACCGGGAAGTACAAAGCGCTTCACCAGGTCGCCCGCATGTTAAAGTATCTCTCCCCATTTCCACCGTAAGGCGGACAATTCCAATTGGGGTATCAAGTGGCACTTCGCCGTTGATGAAAGGCTGGCGCGGAACTACCTGTAGGGGCTTTTTTAACCTCGACGCGTGGCGGTAACGGTCAATAAATTACTCAAAGTGGGGATAGAAGCTGTATCACCAAGCTGCAGTAAATGTCTACTTGTTGTTAAACCGGTGAGTTACGTGACTTTCTGAGGCGTATAGCGACAAGGCGAATCAAGCACTGGCACGCATACGTGTTGTGATATTCGTCGAGAACGAAGGCTGCAAACTGTGTTTGTTTTAACATACAATGTGTTTATTGGATGCATTTCATGCGAAAAGCGTTACACTCGAGTGTGACGAAGAAGCGTTATACCCAGGTGAAGGCAAAACACAGCATACACATCCCCTAGCAGGCACATGGAAGCATTTAGAAGGCAAACTTCGCTACACTTAAAAAAACGTAATTAAAATTGTGCCTAATGAATCATAACAAGCGAGATTAACCAAGCAGCTGAGAGGGAATCAAGCCACGGACCCTGCGATCACCATGAGGAGAAGGTTAATGTGAACGCAAGCAGCTGTATTGGGTATGGCTCACGGGAGTCTGCGGTATCTTAGAAGCCTGTCGGCGCGCGTAACTGAATCTCCAATTATAAAGCGTAGCTCCCCACGTGATCTCACGACGCTACACGGTAGATCACAGTAACGCACAAACGAATAGAGCAGCTCGCTTATGATACCACGACTTTGCAAAGCAGCCAATATAGGGCAAAGCGGGCACGCTAATTCACCTATCCTCGCGATTAGTTCGGTAACCACAAGGGGTCCTCGCAATTAGAGGGCATTAACATCTCAAGGTGCTCCACGCAGTGTCAGAAATAGTAGTACCCATAATAGCTCCTCAATGAAGCATATATATAGTTCCTTCAGAATTCATTCCAGGCTAAATTTAAACTTGTCTTGAAAATTCTGATGAAACGGAGGAGCGCATGAGTCGTACGTGTGTGCAAACCACATGAAACCACCCAAAGCCCCACGTAAAGAATCATAATTTATATCCTAACGCACGCCAAAGAAACCAGCGACACACGATGTGCTCTCCACGTTTATCAGAATAATCAAGAAAAGTTTAAATTTGTTTATTTCATTGAAATATTTCTTGCTTAAACGTAAGTACGTTACACTAAGTTTGAGGGGCGTTTTTGTTCCGAATTCACTCGAACTAATGGCAGTGCTTTTTTCTACGCTTCTACTCACCCTCCGTGTTGCGGTCAGGGAGGGTGTGATGTTTGCTCATCGTTATAGATGTGATTGAGAGACATCGGTTAATGTTCTGTTATACTCCGACGTTGAGCGCAGCAAACGTAGCGTAGCGCAAAACGCGCGCGTTTCATTGGCCGGCGAGCAGGAACTCGATATCTGCGAACAATCAGTATCTGTGTACGCTGCTCTATATACGCTGCGTTTGATACACTCGACGCCAAAGTATAGCAGAGCCTTTAGGAATCCAGCCCTTTTGAGCCCGGCGGCCCTCATTCACAACACGTACGTCACGAAGTGACGGGCGAAGACGGTCCTTCGTCACCCCAGCCTAGAATTTCTTTACTTTCGGACTTGAAACAAGGTGGCGATAGTACGGATGTAGCACTTGAACGCTTTCGGGAACTATATTGAAAGTTTCGCAGTATTTGTAAGATACAATTCTTCTATCGTATCTTTGTAAGATACAATCTTTACCATCTATCTCCGAGAAACGGTCGTTTTTAACATATTGGCAATTCGTTTAAGCTCATGTTGAGAGGACGAATAAAAAAATAGCAAATATACGACACGAGAAGTGTTCAACAAGATAGAAAAAAACAAGATTTTTTTTATATCAAGTAAATAACATTTATTTGGTTTAAATTATATTCATTTAATTTCATTTAGATTTTTTTATTTAGGAAGAGTTATTGGATTTAAATCAAAATTATTAGACTTAAATACGATTTATTAAATTTCAATTAGATCAATTTTATTTAAATTAAACTATTCGTATTTAAATTTTATTTCTTTATTTTAAATCATTGTAGCAAAATAAAAGGTTATTCTTTATCACCGTATGCACTTCAAAACAAAGCAGATTAATTTATCTATCCTTTAAATCACAGAAAAAAATACGGAAAGAAACGTAGCACTGTACGTTTTAACCTTTTATGGTGCAGTTTAATTAATTAACAGCGTTTTACTGATATAAGCTTGCCATACTAGAAGTAAAGCAGCGCATTCGTTAGTAAAAAGCTGTATTCACTTGTTCGTTCGCGTTCTCAGTTGCTTGCGGTAGGCCATTACGCTTATTGTTTTGCTTCCTTGTTTTGCATTTTGATTTGCTTGCCTAGTAGGACATTACGTAGCTGACAAACGAAGCGGAGCGTAGAAAAAAGCTCTACGCTCTTATTTGCTCATAAGAGTTGTTTGTGATACACATTGCTATATTTTTTTTTCTTGTTGACTCCGATTTTAATACAAAACAAGTGCAGGTAGACAGCATCAATCGTGATGAAATAGTAAATAAAGTATTTTGGGAAATACATCCGCAGAAAACTTTGATGTAAAGCATTATAGTAAAACCGGTGTGTTTTAAAACAAGATTTAAATAATCTTGGTTTTCATTTTTCACCCTGGTTCAGCAGCTAGCCGGCAGATGACGCCGATGTGTTCTCTCGTGCTAAGCGCTTACAAGAGGTCGTAGTCATAATTATTATAATGTACGCTAGATGTTAAACTGGCGCTAGTGTCAATGCAACTTCCGGGAGGCAAATTGAAGCAGACAGCAACCAGTCTACTTTTGCGGTGCTCCTGAGCATTCCTATGGGAAAAAGAGCGGGAATTTTGTCTCTTCGACGGGAAAATACCATAGATGACTTGATATTTTGGTCGTACCGAATAGTGCGGACCTTTATTAACATTGTAAAAGTGCAAATGCTTTAATTACAATTTTTTTATTTAAAACTGAACGGTGGTAAACTTCGGATTATTTCAGGCCCAAACCTCCGTTCCATAGCAGGTATGTAAAAACGAGGGACGATTCTAAGCAAATAATAATCGAAAGGAATGGAGATTTCGTTCAAGGTTCGCCAGCATTCTGTTGGTGCTGATACATTTCTAATATGCCTGTTCTGTCAATATACAAAAATGACTCCGTCGTGCACCTACCAGCACCTAGAAATATTTGAAACGTAAAGAATAATGTACGTGGGCTATTAACGGTGTGTCTTTTTCTACTTCGAGCAGCTTTTATGGGGCTCTTGTTGTCTGGCCTCTCTTGATTTTCAAACGATTTCGAGCATGCGGGTGATGTTTTGAATGCAGAATAAGCATCTTCGCACATATTCATGAGCATAAAGAATAAACCAGTACTTACTTATTGATAAGCGGACTATATTACCTGGCTTTCAATTTATTTTGGTTTGCATGCACAAAGAGTTAGTATTTCAGTGTTACTGAGTAGTTCTTGCCGTCTCTATTCCTTTTCACATGTTCTTCGTTCGTTTGGCACGTATATCCCCCCTTCTCGAAAGTGTACATGCCGTGTTCGCGCTAACAGTGTCCGACATTGCCCATAAATACAAGTACGAAGCCGTTTTAGCACCGTTTTTAATGCCACTCCGGCTTAACAAAACAAAGTTGGTAACAAGAAGGTTTACACGTTTCGCCACATATGCAGGTGGCATTTTCAGCACATACTGACACAAATTAGGCGAGGGGTCAACCAGATATTATTTATCACCAACGTCCCCGTAAATATCCAGCAGGGAACCACGGGTAGTGTTGCACACGGATAAATAATGAAGAATGAACCATGACACAAGCCGCTTCCTTGGGCCCCGCCGCTGTCGTTGTCCCAGAGTCGCCGCACTGTGCAGGTCAAACGTGTGCCCCTCGTCCAGCAGTGGGCGACAAGTTCCGCCTTGATCGTTTTGCGTCAATCGCCTTGGCCACGACACTTTAGTGTCCCTTCAGATTCGCTGCCCTCCTCCTTCTTGTCTCGCCAATGTACATAGCATCGCAATTGACTCACATAACTTCGCATACTGCCCCACTCTGGACGTTTTTTGGCTTCGGGAACACATTCGCCAGAGTGTAATGAGGTTTAAACTCACGTCGGGCAAAAGGCGTCGTCGCTGTGCCTCAATTATTTTACGTTGTCGCGTACGTTGTGCATATTGGGGGAAAAAACAATGTGCCCACGCCCCGGTGTCATCGAAAGAGGAGCGCGTGTCAACAGCAGCGCGTCATTGAAGGCGTGCCAAACAACCCTTTCCTTCTTACGGAAAAGAAAAGTGGACGCAACGGCCAAACGAACGATGCGAAAGAGCACGGTGCAAACCGCGCCGTGGCCGCGTAAAATCAGTCCAGTCCAGTAGAAACCACGACCGGGCAAAACAAAGACGGCTGCATGCACCAGAACAATGAAGGCTAATGAATTAAAAAAAAATGACGCCACGGATTTTCAGTTCCCTTCATCTGAAGTCTTGCACGAGTACACCATGGTCAGTAAAAGTGCATTTGGAAGTTTTGCCCAATCGAGTACCATCATGCCAGACAGAAAACTTTTCGAGAACTTCGAGAACATTTTTAGAGGGCCGAAAGTGTACCCTTCCCGACTGCTTCGTAGGCTTGTTATCATGTTGAGGTTGGCAGATTATGAACTGTTGTGTTTTCTGAGATGGACCAGAGTAGTGCAGTGACGAAACTAGCAGGTGCTGTTAAAATATAAAGGTGCCTAAAAGTACTACCCTGCCCCTGCCCGCCTGAACCACAAGATTGTCACGAAAGCAATCGTCGCTGACGAAGCTTCGCTGACAATGTGGCCCTGCTGGGTAAGCCAGCAACGTCTGAATACCTCGATCTTTTTGACGATATCAACTGTATCAAAGATTCTAAAAAGTTTGTGTCAGAGTTTCACGATGTTCGTTTGTGTGACGGTGGACCAAGCACCAAGAATTACCCAAATGTTCAGCCAGCAAGTGATTTTCTTGATCCCAAGAACCGGCGGCGACACAAACTACGTGTCCTGTCGCTCAAGCGAAGTGAAAGTGCGTGCCCGCACTGGCAGTGCCTCCTGACAACAGTTTGGATTTACGAAAAACGTCTGCTAGATAAGAGCAGGAAAAGGCACCCCACTATTTTCGCTTGACACTGCCCAGAAGGGCAACACGCCTGATTTCAGCAGAGCCCAGCATGCATTGAAGAAATCTGCTGGTCGCCTAAAAAAGAGGGGGCATTCACTGACCTCAAGTTGAAGGACAGACAAGCGAAGCTATGCATAATTTTAATAAAGTTCTGATGGGTAGGCATAGTGTCTTACATATTCCCGAAGCCAAGGCAACATCCCTTAAAGAGTGCGTAACAGCTGCCAACTGTAGAAGCAAGAAAAAGAGACGTTACGCAGATTACTGATTCCTGCACTGTCTGCTCTCGAACATACGCAGCCCGTCGAAATATTCCGTCTTAAGAGACAACAACATCCTACAGCTTCTTTGTATATCAACTGAATAACATCCTACTGCTTCCTTGTATATCAACTGTAAGAAAGTAGTTTTCCATGGTTCGTAACAAATGTGGCTTTGACATTCGCGTTTTTCCTTTTCTTCTGAAGCAGGAAACAAGAGTTGTTTTTGAGAGGCATGGAAATCTTGAGTTCGATGAGGCAATATATTTGTTTCACTTCCGAAGTCATAAAGAAGTGGGGATGCATCAGATTATAAGCCCATCTTGCCCAAGTGCTCGCTTACGATCTTTTTTTTTTAAATTATTATTTAGAGCTTTTTATTATTTTTATTAAAAGCCTACTTATTGCTAGCCGACACGACTTTGTTTCTGGCAGGTCGACGACCACTAATCCGGTCACTTTTACATCAAAGGCCTCTCATATTTTCTGCGAACATGGTCAACTCGATGTTATTTATTTCGACTGAAGCAGGGTTTTCGACCCGGTCTATCATTTAATATTAATATGTAGGCTTCCTCTATATGCTGTTTGTGAACAGGCCCTTTAATTTTTTAGGAGCTACCGACTGGACAGAGAAGGTTTTGTTCGAGTTAACCATATAAATTCCAGGACACACATAATGAACTCGGGCGTGCCTCAGGGACCTGATTTAGGTCCCCTCCAATTTTAAGCATTTGCTAATTATGTTTCTCTTGTCATCTCACTTTAATCTTTCTTATAGTATGCCGATCATATTAAAATATATTGAAACAAACGATTGACGACTGCCAGAAGTTTTTGGGAGACATCAGTTTATTTAACGATTGGTGTACTAAAACCAGCTTTCTCGAGGTTGTTCTAAACCAGTTATGACATTTTTTTTTTTAATTCAAACTCAGAACGTATCTTTTATTATTATATTTCTGCATATTTATTGAGTGGCGTGAGAGGCATAAGAGATCTCGGCGTTATATTTAATTTAATCCTGTGGTTCGATGACAGTGTAAACAAAAAAGTTCGAGTGTCTTTACGAGCCCTGGGAATAGTATGTCGCTAAAGAAATGTGTTTGATAATCGATGTGCCTTCCTTACACTATAGTTCATTTAGTCGCTCCCGGTTAGAACACACGTCAGTTATGTGGAATCGTATGGAAAACTAATTTTAGAGCGCAGCCCTTTGGCGCCCTTTTCCGGTTTTAGCGGCGTCTCACCGTCGGCGTCGGCGTAAACGCGCGCGTTGCATTATAAGACGTGACAGCTTCTCGCTAAAATTTACGGGTTAAGTTTCCCGCTAAAGTTAACGGGGAAATGTTTCTGATAAATTTAGTGGTGAAATTTCCCACTAAACTTAGCCGGGAAATTTATCCGCTAAATTTAGCAGGGAAATGTTTTTGCTAAATTTAGCGTGAAGATTTCCCCGCTATACATAGCAGGAAAATTTTCCTGCTAAATATATGGTGTTTAAGTTTCCCTGCTATATTTAGCAGGGAAATTGACGTTACGTGACCTCCAACAGCAGTTCAGTTTCCCCCCTAAATTTAGCATTGAAAATGACGTCATGACTTCGTGCCACGTCACCCATGAACAAATTCAGCAGCAGGAGGAAAGGAAGAGGAGGGGAAAGCAGGAAGAGGGGGGACCGTACGGGGAAGGAGGAGGGGCATTTCTTCCCCTCCGTACCCTCCCCTCCACCTCCTCAAGAGCTGCCGCTCTAGTTTGGTTTTCTTTCCCCAATATAACATGTGAAAACAAAATGCATTTCTATGTTTAAATTTTGTTTTTCTGAGAATGAGCATTCACTGAATTATGAGGTTGTGCCGGGACGCGCAAACTTACCTTACAGAAGCGTCAATCGAAAGCAGACTTTTTTTTTAAATACTATGCATGTTTTGATTAATTCTTGAGATATCTTGTCTGGTGTGTGTATTAGAGACCTGCGAATGCCTACATGGCTTAAATCCATATTTTATGCTGCTACAAAACTTAGTCAGCTCAGCCCAGCGTTTAGATTATAAGATACTTTAATGTTCCACCAAAGAACTGGATATTTCAACTCCTGCCTTTAGGAGAAAAGTTTAATATACAAATTGAACTCCCGTTCAAGTCGGTACGGAGTTAAGAAACACAAATTATTCAAAATTATGGCGTCAAATTTTTGCCTCCAAGTTGTTTCTTTTTAATATACATGAAATGTATTTTCTTTAGGGTGCTGAAACGCCGTAAAATTAATATTTCACTTGTTTCTTTCTTGAAGCTCACTACTCAATACCTTGGACTTTTGTACGATGTTGTAAATGCCTTCTATTAACTAATGTCATGGAGTGATAAATAATATTGTCCTCATATACCATGCCCTGCAATTTGAACTGCATTCCTACGCCTTGTGTAATATTGTTAAGTGTAGGTATTGTCGATTTATTCGCCCTGCTTTTGTTTCGGTGTTTCAGTTTATGCGTACTTCGTAGTGTGTAAGTTTGGGTGTCCCAGAACCAAGATCGCACGGTTGTTTCTGGGCGCCAAATAAAATTGGTTCTTGAATCTTGATATTCATGACTGTTAATAATTATATTAGACGAAACGCCACAAGTGTACGTTTAACACCTCTTTGAGTCTGCGTTCTTATGTTCAGTTGCCTCTACAGTGAATAAGCCCTAACACAACATACCGGTATTCAATTGAAAAAATAATTACAACAGGATTACGTTATAAAAAAATATGTTTTGTTGCGACTGGATTTACTGTTTTTTTTTTATGTAGGCAGACGAGGAGTCAGAAGAGAAGCATGGTTCACGGACCCGTGCTCTCTCGGTCTGAACAAGGCACGCTCACCAGCAAACATAAACGGTCTGGTCGCCCAAAGTTCCATTGATATTTCTAAGTGGACTTCACGCATCTAATATAAATAAGTGTAATTACTCTTGGTATAACTTGAAGTGTGATAGAACATTCCTTAAAAATATGATATAACATATATGCATTGCTACAATCCAAATGAACGATCTTTTTTTCTTGATGAGCTTCCTAAAAAATGCATTCTTCCGGTTGGACGATTGAGAGCGTTCACTACGTTGAACATTGTGGTCTTGTGACGATTGTTTAATGAAGGGAAAGAGCTGTCTTCAAGGAATTTGTGCTCACTTGAAATCTAGAAATGTATGTGCTCAAAGGATATTCGCTTTTCATGTCTAGGGGTTAAAATTGTGTGGTCTAAACACAGCTAAATAATATGCAGTGTATGTCTCATTGCTACCCATCCTCAATCAATGAAGCCTAGCAATCGTTTTTCACAAAAAACTTTACATAGAATATTACATGTTTATTAAATTATATAAAATAAATGTCTTAAAACTTACCATTGTAAAGAAACGTGTTGGTATGACCACCAACAATAAAATGAAGGTCTTCTACTTTCTTTGCAATGTTTATATCTACTTCGTACCCCACGTGACTTATCAGAGCAAATATTTTCACGTCTTGTTTCTTCAGAATTTCGATTTCACTTTTAATGCTCTCAATCTCGTCCAGAATTTCTATTCCACCTGAAATTATATCACATACACAATTTATACATATAAAATTTTAACACAACTACAATTCAATATAAAAATTTGGGCTAATTAAGACTTTTTACGTGGTGTTTGGTCCTATTGTATATATTGCACTGTAACTTGGTCAATATATTCCGGTGAAAGCATCTAATCATGTAAATAATAGCAAGGTAGCCGCTTACAATAGCAACAGTTCGAAATACAAGCAGAATACAAGTATTGCGTTCGTATGTAGTTTGATCTGTGTAATTACGATTAAAATGGCTTGATATGAAGTTTTAAATCACTAATTTGAAACTACTACAGAGCATGCGACGGTTTGCCTTGATAAAAAAACGCTCAACTTCACTGTGTAACCAGTCACGGTTTGGGTTCTTCATTGGGAGCATATGTTTGGGAGACATCAATGTTCATTACAGGAGCTTTTTTAATATAATATTTTGAATTGTCAATACATAATATCTCCATGATTTACAATTTACCAGAAGACATTGCTAAATATCTTTAAGGTAGAAGTTTTGACTTTCAAGATTGAGGAAGACAACAATGACAAAACACTTCCAGGAGCTCGACATTCTCATGAAAACTGCAGCATTGATGAGGTAACTCATTGTCAGAACTACTGTTTGGTTTTTTTTTAACTCTTTAATATGGACTTGTGGGAAAATTTAAGTATTGATGGACGAAGAGCGCGTTGGTGCGGGTGTAGATAGAAGAATCTTGATTAACACTTTCTTTCTTTCTTGAATATTGACAATTTAAGAAATATGCCTATATTTATAAACCAAAACACCTTCTTAGAGCATATTAAATTCGCGAATAAACTGAACAAATGGGCACCTGTAGGTCGCAAGCAAAACCTTTCAAAATAGAAATATTTGAGAAGTGTGTTTTATCTAGGGAAAGTTGAAGACTAAAAAAATGAGAGCAGCATTCTCCAAAATTTGAACGACAATGCTAATGGAGACGACTAAGTTGGGCCATTCAGGGAGTTATAATGTGCTTTAGACAATAGGGCATCGGGCCTTCGTGTTAGAACGTTGTCCCAACTTGTCACCCGCCTTTCTTTTTTTCTAATCAAACGAAAGTCACATTACGGGGCCGACTGACCAACCAGAGGAAACCACAGCACGTGGCAGCGCTTTTCAAGGTCGACCACTTCTTTCGTGTGCGATACTTCGTTGACTAGACTACAACTTGTCATTTTGCTCTTTTAGCCAAGTTCTGCGAATGAAGGTTCCACGACTTAGGAGAAAAGTGCATAGTCGAAGTGCAGTTTGGATTGCAGGTTTTGCTCAGAGTTCGTCTTCTTTGTGGATCCCTCTAAAGGGGCCCTGCAATCATACTTAAAGGGATCCTCCGCCGAGCTCTTCATGGTCCCCGATTTGCTTGAAACTTTGCTAAACTCGCCAAACAACATCGCCAAAATAGTATCCCAAATATTAGGTCAAAATAATTTTTTTTCACGAAGTTATTGAATTTACAATTTTGGTCCTCACCGTGTTTTTCAAACTGAAAGTCTCTACTGGCAACAATAAAAAAGTGACGTCATTGGAAGTGCAGGGGTTCACTCTTTGGACTGTAGAATTTGTTCCCAACTGATTTGAAGCAGTTTCATGGTGTCAAATGAATGCCTTGGAAGCTCGCTCCAGTCCCCGCGCTCCAGCACGGAACAAATCATCGGCATATTCTATTTTCTAGACTGCTCGCCCGACTGGCAAGCTGAACTTCCACTGACGTCACGGCCCTGAAAAGGGCGGGTATATTTGAATGTCTGTTTTTGCATCATTTTCATTTGCCGATTTCGCAATAACTATTATGAATTTCACGATATTAAATAGCATTCCAGAAAGGGTAAAGGCCTGGGAGTCAGAAAATATAGTTAGTTGAGGTAGCTCAAAAATCGGCGGAGTACCCCTTTAAGCGTCTACCTTTTTTGCGGTTTCCATGTCTCTTGGGGTTGGGGCAAGCCAGCGGGCACGGAGAGAGTAACTAAATATCAGTGCGTCATATTTTAACCGGACGACGCGGAAACCTCCTCCACCGACGAGGGCGACCCGCGGTACCGAAAGCGCGCAAAATGTGACGTCTTTGGTCCTGGGCTTGTCACAGGTCAAAGCCGCTAAGAGCTTTTTTTTAGTCGAGACACAAAATAGAAGTGTCGCGAACCGTTTCAATTATGTATGAAAGTAGTTTTTGTTCACTATTTTAGATCAGAAAAGAAACAAATGCAGTTTAGAAAGTACGGAAACGAGAAATGACCCGTCGACATACCCGCCACCAAGCGGCGGAAAAAAACGGCGCATACTAGAAAAGGCTAGTGGGATGAGGCTACGACAAACGAGGAGAGTAGAAAGGTCCCGGATGTACGCGACGGCGCTGTGGTCGTATACCGGCTCAAGAATCCGACCGGTTCCGAGCGTTCCGAAGGCCTTCGGCGCGGGCCCTGTTGGCGATTTGGCCATTTGGCGGTGCGTCAGCGCGAAATGGCTGCCGTTCTGAACTGATCTTTACCCCGTGTTTGCTGTCGTTTGTGGCCAATGAAATGTTATGCCGAATTAGTGTTTAGTCGCGCTGCAAATGCAATACGAGCTGCCCTGGCCATCCGCTTCATACAGCCCATCCAACACGTGCTTTAGTGGCGCCCTCTCGAGCCGTCAACACGGAGTGCGGCAGCCGTATGCGCTCGATGAGCTCACTACTCCTCCTCTAGTTCAAGGCCACTCAAAGCAGGACCTACGACGTCATGAAGGAGGTTATTTTTTGCTTGTTTTTGTAATTCTAATTTGCCTATAACTTTTAAAATAAAGCGAAATTTGAGAAAAGAAAAGTTGGATTAAGTTACTACGATCAGTACGCTCAGGTTCAGTGCAAATTAAAAACCAGTCAAAAAGTCATTGCAGGGCCCCTTTAAGGTGGACTGCCTTGAGTTTGGGGGCATGCCCTTCCGTGTAAGGGCGGCGTGCTGGAGTCAGCACAATTCGTTCAAGGGAAATTTGCAAAGAAGCAGTTTATAAAAGGTAGGTCTTTGAACATGCTCGAAGGAAAGCTTCTCCGTCGAAAAACAATAATATTATAACAACGTTTCTGGGCTGCCGTTGCTACAGGACGACCGTTCAGGAAAAGTCAAAAGAACCTGGAAATCGTCAGTGTATTCCTTCTACCAAACATCATGGTGTCACATAGGATCTCGCACCCCGTCGGCAACCGACCTACCAGATTTAGAGTTTTTAAGACGCGGTATGCGCGCTAGATCAATAATTGGCCGCGATCTTTACCTCCAACGTCCTATAACGCATTTAAGGGGGAATCATTTACCATTATTTTGAAGAAAATTAAACTGCCGTTTCGGGGAGTGAAGAACATTTTTTTTTTATTAATTACCCCGCTAATTGTGCGCGAAAAATCGGCACATAGGCCACGTGGCGTCAGTTTCCACGCTAAATTTAGCTGGGAAACTAAAGTGGTGAATAGACCCCGCGACGTTAATATTCCTACTATATTTTTGTGGTGAAATCGTATTGATGTCTGTTTTACGTGTCTTAGGTCACACGACGTCAATTTCCCTCCTAAATTTAGCAAGAAACTTTACGTGATTAGGTAACGTGACATCATTTTCTCGCCACACTAAACGAGGAAACTAAATTGGTGTATAGGTCACGTCACATCAGGTCATGTGACGTCAAAAGTTCCGCTAAAACTAGCAAGGAAACTATATAAGTGCGTAGGCCTTGTGACGTCAGGTCACATAATATCAAATTTCCCGCTAAATATAATGGGCAAATTGAATTGATCTATAGGTCACGTAACGTTAAGTCACGTGAAGTCAGTTTTTCCCTTGACTTTGGCGGGGAAACTTAATAGGTATATGGATCACTTGGCGTCAGGTCACGTGACATCAATTGACATTAGGTGACCTAAGCACCAATTCTTTTTTCCCGCTAAATTTAATTAAAATCCACGAACTTACGGACGAACGGACAAAAGTTTTGGGATTGGAGCTGCTGTTAAAAGCATTTCGTGCTTTAATAACTTCACACTAATTTAACACAAACTAATTTGCATTTTTGCATGCACAATAAGGGGCACATTTAAATTCAATGCATCAAGGGATTTTTGCTCTGCGATAGCTAATTTTTTCAATAAAACAACCAAACTGTTATTGGACCCTCTTGAATGTTTGATAGAGGCAGAACTTGCTTAGTATTCAAGGTTATATTACTTTGCTGCTGTTTAAAGTCTTGGAATTCACTTTATCAGAGCCCCCTATACCCAGACATTAGTCCGGTCGTTCGTCCGTCTATTTACCTGCTACATTTCGCGTGGAAATTAGCGTTACGTGACGTGGCGTCACATTACATTACGACTGGACGCCATGAGGTTACGCCACGTAGCCACTTCGCCTGACGTGAGGTCACACGATGTTAATTTTCTCATTACATCTAGATGGCAATTTCGTCACGTGATTTGATGTCACTCGTCGTCGCCATCAGGTTGCCTGTGCGAGAAATGCGGATAAACGTTTGACGTCACGAGGGTTGCGTTACTCCACTTGAAACTCCTTCTTACACCTTAGGGCCACTAGTCAGTCTCGTAGATTTTGTCGTGAGGTGTATAGATATACCGAATAAAAAAAAGATTTGCCGCGACGGTGGTAGTTAATCTGATCAAATATAAACCTCATATCGCCGCGTGCGTGGCAGATTTGGCGACGCATGCGAATGCCTCGCCGAGGAACGCAGTTCGAATACCGCAGATCCCGGTTCTTTTTTTTTTTTTTTTTTGTTCTGTAATGTTTTAGTTCATTCTTGGCTGTAAAGGAGTTTTCTGGCTCAGAAGACTCGTTAACTGCGTCGCCACTGCCCGTATAAAGGCAGTGACGCCGCGCTGCGTGCTTCGAGTCAGTGACCCTCTCGTTGTTGACGCTGATTACTCGATACATTATGTTTTAGTTTATAGGCGCTATTTTACTCATTTATTTTCAGTTTTAGATTAGTTCACCATTTTCCATCCTTGACATTCTGGTGAAAGTGCTGGGTGGTGGTCGGCGTTGCGCTCATCATAACTCAAAGCTCCTATGAAGTCGACGACGACCGCCCACGATGAGGACAATGAATGCAAGTGCTTTAGGACGAGAAGTATAACCGATTCTTTATCTCTAACATGATTAATCAAAATAGTAAAGGTAATGAAACTACTTCAGTTAATTAATCTACAGTAGATTTGCTGCATAAACACGTGTAGGTGCTGACCAAATATTACTCCTGCTTATTATTTCTTTCAAATGTTTCGGTGGAGTAGTTTATATCTCTTCATCTAGCGCCTTCAGCAAATCTACTGTAGATTAATTAACTGAAGTAGTTTCATTAACTTTACTATTTTAATTAATCATGTTAGATATAAAGAATTTAAGGTTGATTAATCATAGAAGAGCTGCCAATTATACCATTTGAGATCATTACTGAATTAACTACACAGTTATTCCTCCGCCTTTTGAAAATATTAGGTCATGGCTGCAATGTTCACTCAAGTGGTCTTAAATAAATAAATGCCAGCAAGAATAAAATATCACTGTATATTACACTGTTCACACAAATGTTTCATTTATTTATTTCTTGCCACCCTTTTTAGACGCTCTTCATTCATTCGCGAAAAACTAAATAATTCGACGGTGTCATTTAAAAAATGGTAATTATTTAGCGCTATGAAAGATATTCCTATCTTGTTTTGTAAAAAGAAAAGCAGGTATACCAAGTACAGTATTTCAGACATTAGTGGTGGATGCTAGCTCAACCTATCCCAGCCAGTGACAGCTGCACTTGCTACATGTCGCGCGTTTGACGTAGTAAATAACTAGTAAAATGGCAGTAACGGTCAAAAAAAGATAGTAACGTCTGCAGTTATTAACTTTCTACAGCGTGTCGAGCGTTTGAGGGAGTAAATGGCTAATAAAAGGTACTATCCGTCAAAAAAAAGGAGATAGCTTCCACAGTTTCAACCTTTTACGGTCAAGCTTTGTCCAGATATATCCAGTGTCCCTGCCATGGGAGTTCGATACAAAAAAAAAAAAAAAAAAAATACTTCTATACTATTACATGCGATAGCTTTTCTTTAAGGAGTGTAGTAAATGACGAACCACCAGGACAAAAAATTACGCCAAACCACTACGACAAACCACGTAAACAAACCACGACTATAAACCACGAGGAGGAGCCACGACAACACATCACGACGACTAACCTACGGCGACGAGCCTACGACAATGGACCTATGAAGACGACCAACGATGACGACCTACGAGGACCACCGATTATGACGATCGCAAAAACGGCGGCCGATAATGGTGGAGAAACGATAAAAAAAGGCGGCTCTCAGGGCAAATAACGACAGTTAACGTTGACGGCAAAATAGAACTGTCGCCAACTTTTCACGACAAGTGCCCGATCGTGACCGACATCATGAACTGTGAGAATGTCAAGCAATTTTGTTTTATGATTTTAGTAGGTTTTCGTTTTGCCTGATTTCAAGAAGCGCTAGTCTGCGTCTTGATAGAGGGGCGTAATGCCGCGTGCGTGCGAATTTGACAACCCACGCGGCTGCCACGGGGAAGAATGGATATTGAACGACGCTGGGCTCGGTACTTTTATTTATGAATCTGTACTCTTCTGGAAACTTCCAGCTTATTTGTGGAACTGTGACTGCGGTTTTTGTGTCAGGATCCTCCTGGTAGTACTGCATGTATCTAGGCAGCGGTATCGCGCTGCTTCGAGTCAGTCATTTTTCTGTCGTTGTTTTTCCTCGTGCTCGTCACCTTTCGTTTTAATTAATAGGCACAAGTTCCACCATTCAACATTTATTTTCAATCTTATTTTCGTTTTCAGTTTTTGTTCGTGACACTACAATCTATCTTTACCTGACAGAATTCATGAATGGTGAAGTTCATCATGAATAAAATAGCGCAAATCACGTAGGACGAGGTAGACAGGAAGGTGAAGTTCACAACGGAAAAAAAAGTAGAAAGGAAAATACTACTATTCTAAATTAACGCTTGCGCTTCACTTGCCTGAGTTTTGTGCTTTTAATGATAGTTTGCACTACTTCTCGATGGGAGTTTCAAAGCCGACTCTCATCCTGGTGGTGCCTTCAGTGTCAGAGTTCATTATTAAAAGTTAAAAGGATGTTGCTCTCATTTCTTTTTTACAGAAAAAATAAAGTGACGCCTTGAAACTTCATGGGGCAAGTCCCACAACCCAAAGTAACCCAACGTCACTCAATACAAAATCTCTTTTTACAAAAAACACTCTAAGCAAGATTTTATAAAGACGTAGCAATTTAATTTATAAATTCATGTACATAACCCTAGTACGTTTGTGATATCGAATTATAAGTTTGTATGTGCTTTACATCTCGACAACATTTGGAACATAACACTCACAAGTGCCTTTCTCTAAGTTAAATTTTGGAGATATGGATCATTTCTACTCATAAATTATTATCACAGATAAAAGTTGAGAAAATGACCGTAGTTAAGAATGTTTTCAGTCATTTAAACATTCATCAGATCGACAATATAATTGTCATATCACAATGGAATTACGTTAATTATAAGACAATCCAGTTAAGTTCATCAATAACTTTGACAAAACGTTATATATGTATAAAACCCACCACGCTGGTAAATAGTGTTTATACACACTCAACCACTTTCATTTACAAAACAATAACAAGTGCAAAAGCAAACACAAACCTGGTCTGGCGATTGTTCGTGTTTCTGTAGTAACAACTCCCATTACGCCAATCTTCACGCCCTCAACAGTGTATACTATATGCTTCAATACCGTGATGTTATCTTTCGTGAATACTGGCTCTCCGCTTGTGTTCAGGTTTGTTCCCAACACAGTGACATTTGCTTTTTGCATTCTAACAAGAAAAGGAGCTAGTCCTTCGGGTCCATCATCGAACTCGTGGTTGCCCAAACACTGTAAGTTAAAATGACGAATCAAAATAATAGCAATTACGTACACATTTTACAAACAATAAAATCATATGTGCCAGACCTGCAAGCAACGATTAAACACTTTTTTTTGCAACACTAAAACAGATTTCACGCGGCAGTAGCATAAAAAATAATTTTCTTGCAATAAATCTTTGTGTGCAGCCCATAAACAACGCTGAAATATATAGCCAATGAACAATGTTAAAAAACGGACATTGACGAGCAGGGACCGAACCGTGGACCTGCTTTTAAAGCGGTTAGTGCTCTGCCACGAGTCATTTTTGTGTGTCATAACAGACCCTTCCTGAAAAGTATAGCAACCAAAGCAAAGTTTGCGCAGCTGTAGTCTCACAGATCGCACTTCGACATATGGACTGTCACGGGAAGTAACCCTTTTCTCGCAATTTTTCAACTCATATGCAGCGTTTGCAAAAGCATACTGTGTAAGCACGTGCTTTCTCATTTTTAAATTCCCTATAACAGTGTTGCTAAGGCTAGTAAAATGTTGTATTTTATTCCCAGGAATTTTAAAAATCCGTCTCGCAGTGTAAAACAAACATTATATTTTTCTTTCATTCGACCAATTTTAAAATATGCTCGTGTCCACTGGGACCCGCCACAAAGTTACCTTGAACAAAAATTGGAACGGGTTCAAAACCAGGCATTACGGTTCGTTACAGGTGACTACAGCTGTAAAGTGGTACAAAAGTTGTACAAAAATGAAAAACTGTTTAGGTTCGATTTACTCAAAGAGCGAAGAAAGTACTTGAGACTGAATTTCTTTCAGAGCATATATTACGGACGGACTGGTGTTGAAAGAAGTCTTTACATTTTTGAACCACATTATGCATCTGCAAGACGGGATCGTTCTAAAAAAAGCCGAGGAATTTCTTTTACAGTACTGACTGTTTTTCATTTTTATTTTTTGTACAAACCATTAGAGAGTGGAATACAATTAGGGAAGAAATTATATATATTACTGATAACGATCTCTTTTATGATAAACTGCAAATCTGTATCCGCGATTAATAATGTATGCCTTATTGTTGTTCCATTTGTGTATTGTATGAATATGTATTGTTATTGCATAATGTTTCCTGTACCCCCCTGCATAACGCCTAACGGCACCGCAGGTATTCATGTAAAAAAATACTAAACCCCGATTCAGTTATGCTAAATTTGACATTTTTGCACTGTATCGAAATTCCAGGCGTTAACTTCACATAAAGTCCAGCACTTCTATAGAGTGTAAATTACATATTCGATTGCAGAACAATGTTAGTTTTTATTTTTCTCAAAACATCTTAGTGCACCAAAATTTAGCCTTCTCTAGTGTAGTTGAATGAAAAATGAAGGAACGCCGATTCTGTTAAACGCCTTTCATCGTCTTCTTCCTTTATTATCTAATTTCTGCATCGTCTTTCCTTTATTCCGACACTACATTTGCCCCGTTTTATAAAGGTAATGTATATACTAAAACAACAAAAGCAGAAAAGAAGCATCTAAACAAACAAAGTTGTCGAGTCAACGAAAACCCGAGTACCTATGTGGCAATGTTCCTGTCACATAACTTCCTAGTCCTTCCGAAGGTTTGCGTTGTCTTCAACTCCGGCGAAGAGGTTGAAGTTCTTGTCGTTAGGTGTCTGTATCATTTGACAATGATCTTGGTTCCGGTTGGTCTCCCGCCGAGGAAAACTCGTGTGAGTGTAGCGTGTTTGGTAAAGGCCTCCACGAAATGATAGGTGACAGCTCGTTGTCTGTGTCCGACGTAAGTCGTGGCATGACTTCTTGTTGCATTTTTGAGAATTTGCTTCCATTCCACCCCTTATAGTCGTCGAGCGGGAATGCATTAAATCCTCGACGATCCAGTATCTAGCGTGGCTTGGAGTATTTTAACCTCTTCTTGGTGTGATGACCTGGCAACTTCACGCGTACGAAATCGCCTGGCTGAAACGCTGGCTTACGTGCGCCTCTCTTCTGGTCTACGTACTCTTGGGCAGCAAGCTGCTCTCCTCTAATTCGCTCTCTCAGCTCCATCATTGCTCCTGTCGGTTTGGCGAAAAAAACTTTCTGATGGCCACCCAACGACATTCAGCTTGCTCCGCGGATGCCATTTGTGCAACAGGTATGCGCGCTACACACCCGCAGTTGAGTGTGGTGTTGGACGGTATACTCCGATAGATTCGGTCAGTGTTTCTTCGAGGTTTCGTTGTTCAAAGAGAGCCAGCTGAATAAACCCCTTCAGCACTAAGCTAAATCCTTCAATCATACCATTTGACTGTGGGTAGCAAACAGATGAGAACTTATGTTGAATGCCACGTTCCCGTAAAAATTCTTCAAATTCTGCAATGTAAATTGGCTTCCGTGGTTTGAGGCGATTTCTGTCGGATATTTTTTACGGCTGAAAAGTGACACCAGGAATGCAGTCACTGTTTCGCTGGTTACCGTGCTAGCCAAAGCATTTTCAGGCCAGTGACTGTAATAGTCCATGTCGGTGACTACAAAACGGTGTTGTTGAAATGATTTTTCGATTTGACCAACGATGTCGATGCCCAGCTTCTCCCAGGGGCGTGTGGAAAGCGGTATCTAAAGTAGTGTTGCAGGAAAGTCTTTTCAGACTTATCAGCTGTCTGACAGTTCAGGCATCCACGAACAGTGTGTTCCACTGCTACATCCATTCCGGGCCACCAGTAACACTGCCTCAATCGTTGTTTGAGGTCGGGACGATTCCCAAGTGTGAATCATGAACCAGGGCGATGATCTTAGTAGTCATTACAGCCGGAACTACGATTTTCTTTCCACGTAGGAGCACTCCATCGACCTATGACAGCTCAGATCTCGCTTGGTAGTAGGGTAAAACTTCTGTAGTTAACTTGGTCTTAGATTGCCAGGTTGTAAAGACGAAATGCTTGATTGTTTAAAAGTACAGAGTTAGTGGCTGTAGCAGACATCAGGTCGCCCTTAGAGATGAGTTATTCAGTTATTACAGAGATAACTTCCTCGTCAATCGTGTCAGAAGACGCATCAGGTAATGGTAGTCGGGAAGGTGCAACTGCGATAAATAACGTTGTCTTCGTCCCTCTTGTAGTGCACTACACGGTTATAGTTGAGCAGACGTGCTGTTCATCGAGCAATTCTGAGTGGACGGTGACCCGTGCCTTGAGAACTCAGTAAGGTGGTAAGTGCTTCATGGTCTGTGCAGAGAGTGAATGGTCTGCCCCAGAGATACACGTGCCAATGTTCTAATGCCCTAACGCATGCGAAGGCTTCTCGTTCCCAAACAAAGTATTTTCGCTTTGCCGGTGAAGCTGTTCGTGAAGCAAACTCAACGTTCTGCAGATCGGATCCGTTGGTCTGCTGGAGCAGAGCGCCAATACCGTATCTGGACACATCCGTGGTAACGACAACTGGCATTCCTGGACCGAACATGGCAAGTGTGTTACAACTGGCAATCAACAGCTTGATTCTATCGAAGCACCGTTGTGCTGTGGTCGTCCACACGAATATCGTCTCGCCTCGTAGATCACTTAGTGGTTCAACTTCATCTAAGTAGTTGCGAAGAAACCTCGCGTAATATCCCGCAACTCCTAAAAAGGAGCGCAGGGAATGATGGTCCATTGGTATATGTGCAGCTTGAATAGCTTGAACGTTTTCTTGCAGAGTAGTTATACCTTGCAGAGTAGTTATCTTATTGCTTATGATCATGATTCCTACTTTACACGGAAGTGAAGCTTACTGAAAAGGCAGATATATTTGATTGTGTGGTGCGGAGTTCATGACAAGCATTTGTTGGGATTAGTTTTGATGACTAGGTTTAGAGACCCAGTGTGCTAATGGCAATCATTTCTATCGCATGTTTGGTTTTTGCATCATGGTTATGTTGAATGGAAGAGTTCTCATTTCCGTACTTTATTAGCATAGGCCCTTGTATTAGGCCGTCCATTGGCTTCCAGTTCTTGCTCTTTTGATCTTCATAATTGGTTTAGTCAGTAAGAGCAAGATATGTTTATTTGGGCAGTGCATACTGCATTCCCGGCATCTTTTGGGGTCATTGTGAATGACTAGGTCAATAGCCTGTACTATTTGCATCCTCCTTTAGACATTCAGTTGTCTATTTTTCTCATTAAGGTCATGGTATACGTAAGAAGTATTGTGACTGTAGTTTCTTTGTTGACGGACATTAGCATGCAGTCACTGAATTTAGAAGTCACTGGGCCAGATTATTCTTCTATTGTTGCTGTATTAGTCACATGTTCATATGTGCAAGCGCTTTTCATGGAACGTTGACGGTAATTTCTTGAAATGCCCTCCATCATATTGTCACGGGTGGTGACCAAAAAACAGGAAATAAACAGGAAGCTATAAACGTTTAATGTGGCGAACTTGTGCCAAAAATAAAAGGGTGCAAAGATAATAACAGAGCGTCGCGGGCGTCGAAGTCGGCGTAGCAGCACAGTCGAACGCTGAGGCGAAACTGACCCCGCTCGCCTTGCGGAATCCCTTATGTACCCTCGTGGGTTTCTGAATCGTTCGGCGTAGAAGGTTCGGCGCGTAGAACATTCTGACCTTGAACAAGCAACATGGTTCTCGAATTTACCAGAAAGTTACTTTACAGAGTCCACAAAAATGCGCCTCCGCGGCCAGGAATCGAACCCTGGCTTTCAGCGTGGAAAGCACGCGCGATAACCGTTATACCACGAGCGCGCTGCCTTCCTGGTCAGCTGCGCTCGCGGCATTATCCCCCCCTTTAAAAAAAGTGCATCGTCCCGATGCAGCACAAAACGAAAACACAGATCCACAGCAAAAGGATAGCAGACTTGCGAGTCGCACTTAACAGTTCACTCTTTGACGAAAGTCCAGAGTTCTATCGTTCGTAATACGGCTTGAGCCGGACGACGTGCACCACCTCGGGTCGTGGCTGGCGTCTTGCAGATGGGCGCGTTCCGTCGGGTAGAACTTCGTAGTTCAGATCGCCGAGGCGTC